TATAAAACCAAAAATCCCTGAAGATATTTTATGATCCATAATTTGTTATGGGATGAGTTTTATTTCCTTCTAACATAAGATATAATAAAAACATTCTCATTTACAATTGTAGATATAAATGCATTTTTAGAAATATTTCACACTAAATGTACAGTTTATATGCCTTTGAGGACTAAATCTCTGTAACCTCTTTAAAAAACCAATAACCAAAACAATTCCTAATCCTTTTCTTTAACAAAAAATAATGCTTCTCAAGTTGGATAATTGCATAATAAGGCCCCACTCTTCATTAAAAGAGATTAAGAGAACAAATACATTTAAAAAAATACTCTTTTCTCCAACAAAGAGCATATTTATACCATAAGATTTATTTTTCCTAGTGGTCTTTGACACAAGAAGCAAGTTGAGTTAATTTAAAACTTAAGTTTATTTACAAACCTACTGTGAGTCTGACATATGAAACATTTAACAAAATGTCTTGGAAATGATTTCTAACACCTTTTTGAAGTATCTTTCAAATAGCCATCATCTAACTGTATACATCAAACCATTTCTACCAGATTAAGACAATTTAAAAGGTAAATAAAGGAATAGTAATGCTAGGTGAAATAGAGGTTGCAGTAAAATTTCTACATAGTGTGTACACAGTTCTATAAGAACAGAAGAGAAAATATTGACCATGAGTCATTCACAAGAGAAATAGTCAAGAATGTGTTCCAAATCTGAAACATGGATGCAATTTATATTATTATCAAGAAAAGACTAGGATTAATAATGGTATATACTAGAAATTTCAAGGTTCAAAAAAGTAAGAGACATCATCTGAAAACAAGGGGAAAAAGACTTACTTTTGTCTTAAAAAGCTCTTACCAATCCCTTCCTAACACTGACCACATGAATTCCACCACATTATCTCCTTCTCTACAATTCACAAGTGACTTTCCCTTAGCCACATTATCTAAACTCCCCTGCATTCCAATTCCTACCTATGTGTCCATCCTCCTCCTCTCTTTTCTTCCTGTTTCTCCTTTAAAACTGTCAGACCTCCAAGCAGGCTTAAGCATTTTCTCTCCTCCTTTTCACTCCACTGTAACACCAGTAGAGTAGTTACTTTCTTGCACAGTAAGATATTTTCTATATCTTATCACCTTGGCAGGTAGGAAGCTACTTGAGAATAAAACCTTTTCTTACAGTATTTGCATTCCTGGCACCTAACATAATGTGCAACACTAATATATATTCAATAAATATTCTTAGTGAATGAGTGTTTTTTAGTGAAATAAATGGTTCATACTAAAAAACAGAATAAATATTTTATATTTCAAATGAATGTAAACACATTCCAAATTATTCTAATTTAATAAAAATGTAGTATATGATGCAAATATTTAAAATATAAGAATTAAAATTACATGAGAAATTAGTTTTGAAATTTGTCCTCCACAAACACTAACTATAATGATCACTCTTCTACAAAGTAAGGTGTCAAGATTTTAAGTGTAAACCAATATTTATTAACCACTGATGATCACATAAGCCACTTTTAAAAACCAGACCTTTGTTGTATTTTGAAAAACATATACAGAAATGTTTTCTTAGATAATTTCTTGTGAATTGTAAACTTTCTATTTAGAACAATTGGACTCTTTTTGCATTAAATTCTTGGTTTTGTTCTTCAGTTGATGACATTTGCATAGAAAACAATATCTTTGTTTCTTACTAGATCATCTGCTTCTGAAATGAGATGCATTTATCTTCTTCAGAAATAATTTCCCCTAATTGTGACACAACTAATTTTGGTATTCTAAATATGAGATATCATCATTCATGGCAATGTATAGGAAGGGTAATTGAGTGCCATAGACACAAAGAATTTGTTTTTCATGACATTCACAAAAACAATCTTATTCTAGAAAATATGATCTTGTATTTGAATAAACAAGAACAGTGTTTCTAAAATTTTACCTAATTCAACCACAAAAATAGAGAATTTTAAACTCCAGACTTTGTAACAAAGAAAATAGTACTTTTAGCAAGAAAATAATAGTTAAAAATTGACTATATAAATGTTAGCACTATTTACAATAACTCAACATTTTTTTAAAGATGTTGATGGACCTTTATTTTATTCATTTATATGAGTGCAGTGCTGAGAATTGAACCCAGTGCCTCACACATGTGAGGCAAACACTCTACCACTGAGCCACAACCCCAGCCCATAACTCAACATTTCTTAATTCCTCAATATTTTTGATATGTAAATTTAATAAATCAGCATGAATTGTCATATCCATCTATCTTCTTTATATGATATTTAAATATCATATATCATGCCAGCATCACTGAAAACTTAATTCTACTACATAATTTCTTTTAGCCTTTCTTGTTGAAATCTTACAAAGCATCTATTTTAAAAATTATATCTGTAAGTGGCTCGAAATTGTGGTTTTTCTTGGTCAAACCCAGTTATGTATGCAGTTAAGAAAGTAAAAGTGGTCTTTCTGGTCAAACCCAGTTAGAATCTGATTATATCTATACCACCTCCCAGCTGTATACAGGTTACATTTAAAACAGCGGGGTGGGGGGTGGGTGGGTGGAGGTGGGGGCGGGATTCTCTTGTTCCTCACCTTAAAAAAAAAACAAAACAGTTTGCTATGTATTACAAAAGTTAGTCCAAATATCAAATGAAGTGATAGTTGTAATGCAAATTTATAGAATGTGGCTCATAGTAGATGTTCAATAAATAGAAATTCCAACCCATCAAAGATTAACAACTCCCTAGTTGGCCCTAGCCATACTAACCTTGGTGTTTGAGGGGAAAATTGAATTGTTGTTGCCTCAAGGTTTCCATACTAGCTGTTCTCTCTGCAAGCTATTCCTTTGTATCTCTGCAAAGGCTGCCTCCTCCTTATCATTTAGATCTCTGAACATTATTTTCCCTGATCATCCAATCTGAGGAAGATTTTATTTTCCAAAGATGGCTTAGAACAATATTTTCCATCTTATATGTTCTTCTACAATGGAAGGTGGTGTCTATGTCTCTAGTCTTGAAATCTATGCAGGCTTACAACTGCTTCAAGGAATAAACATGACAGAAATGATGTTGTGTGACTTCTAAAACAAGGCCACAAAAGGAGAATATTCATAGCCTCCTTACCATAGTAAAAAAATAGACAAAATTCAAAAATCCATCAACAGCTAAGTTAATAACTCACAATGTGTGTTACAGTCATGCAATAGTAGTCATAAGAAGGAACGAAGCATCAATAACACAGTACAATGTGGATGAACCTTGAAAACCATTTGCTAAGTGAAAGAAGCCAGACACACAATAGTATACAACCTCATTTATATAGAATGTTCAGAATAATTAACTCTATAGGGACAGAAAGTAGATTAGTGAATGCCTGAGGGAGAGGAAGAATGGGGTGCTGATAAGTATGAGGTTTCTTGTTGAAGTAATAAAAAACATTCTGGAATTGGACAGTGGTAAATGTTGGATAATTATGTAAACAGTTTTTTTAAAGGTCACTGAATCATATACTTTATTTTTAAAAATTTTTTTTAGTTGTAGTTGGACACAATACCTTTATTTATTTATTTTTATGTAGTGCTCCAGATCAAACCTAGCGCCTCATACGTGCGAGGAGAGTACTCTACTGCTGAGCCACAACTCCAGGCCTGAATCATATACTTTAAATAGCGAATATTACAATATGTGAATTGCATTTCAATTATCAAAAATATACTTCAAAAATGCATTTTTGAAAAGTTAAACTTTTGATAGTTTATTAGGAATAAACAAAATAAATAAAGAACAAAAATATCCTTGTTCCTAGGATATTCTCTGTTAGAACTTGGAGCCAAAACACTCTGACCCTACATGAAGGGGCTATGTATCAACAGCCCTAAAAAGGTGACAGTGGACATAGAAGCAACTGTCAGATATATGGGTGAATATACTTCCAGGTGATTCTAGCTTCTAGCCAGAGTCAATTCCCTACTGTAGATGAGACCACAAATGTAGTGGAGAAGAAATTACTGCTGTCTCCATTTGCATTCCTGACTCAGAAAAATCCATGATCACATAAATTGCATTTTTCACCACACAGTACCGGGATAGTGTGTTACATAGCGATAGCAACTGGAACATCTTCAATAGCTACCATATCACACCACATCCTTTCCCTTATCTTGCCTTTTTTCTTTTATGGAACTTATTTATTTTTATTCTGTCTCCTTCCATTAGTAGTAAGAGAGTAGGATCCTCCTCTGTCTTGCTCCTGTAATCATATTACCCAAAAAATACCTAATAAATATTTGAATAAAGTAACAAATTATTGTGGAAACCTTAGCACAAGGAGGGCACCCATTTGGAACTCCTATTGACATGAACTCCAATGTAGGTAGTAATTTTCCCAATAATTTCTAGTAGTTAAGTATGACAAAATACTAGAAATCAAATAATCACTATAATCTTTGTTGTTAAATTTATTTTTATTTTTTTAGTTGTAGATAGACACAATATATTTATTTTATTTATTTATTTTCATGTGGTGCTGAGGATTGAACCCAGTGCTTCATGAGTGCAAGGCAAGCGTTCTACCACTGAGCCACAACCCCAGCTCATAATCTTTGTTTTTAACTAAAACCTAAGATGGATTATGAAACTGTGAACATTCTTGCTGAAGTCCTTCAATTTTAATATTTTGGTAAATGAATCAAAATGGGTATAACCAAGTAATAAAATGCATAACCTAGAAATAAAATTGATTTAATCTAATTTAGTTGGGGAATTTGTACTGATAAACTTAACTTTTATATAATCCTGGCCCTAAAATATCTCATTTTAAAAAAGTCAAAACAAAATACATTTTATTCAGGTTGACATCTAGGTAAAAGAAGTACTGCCATTTTTAAGAATTAAAAAATGCTACATGGTTTACTTTATGAAACTTTCTATCAATGCTATTTTCCCTATGAATGGAACTGAAGCCTACCTCTGGTGCCAGATATTCTGGAGTACCACAGAATGTCTTCATGGTGGCTGCATCTGTGATCCCTTCTTTGCAAAGTCCAAAATCTGTAATTTTTATGTGTCCATCTTTGTCCAACATCAAATTCTCCAACTGTATATTAAAAAATAAACATAAATGGTTTTATAGACTTCAACAATAGGAAAATACAATCTTGAAAAATTATTGAATGCTGAATAGAGTATTTTGGAAAGAGAACATAGAGGCAGTTAACAAAACTTTCAGTACTTACAAACATTGTTGCTTCATGTGTAAAAAGAAACATTTTTTCAAACATTCATGATGACAAAAGTATTGATTTTTAAACCAAAGGAAAGAGTGGTACAGCTTTAAAGCCTAATCAACTTTTCAAGCAAATATTAATCCTCTTTTTAAAATTTCAAATAAAAGGTGATATAAACAATCCCAAAGAGATGAGTATCTTCTAGATACAGACAGATGGATTTCAACAATTTCTCTTGGGAATCTATCGCTATTACAAAATATTCACATACAGAAATGTTTTTTGGTGATGGTTGTAAACCAAACTTAAATCTCATTTTGTAAATTAAGGTGATATCCTTTTTTGCATTTTTTATAATAAAGAAATACCAATCCTTTTAAACATAAAAAAGAATATTGAAGTCAAACATTCAACAATTAAAAAGATAATGTAGCACTAATGTAAAGTCTGAATCTCTTTGAACCTATTAACTCAAAAACACCAAAGGGAGTCTTAGAGTTAACCAAGTAGCAAGACTATCTGCTCGAGTGAAAAATGATAAAATGCAAGGGGGCAGGAATGCAAAGCCAATACAACTAAAAACAATAATATAACTGACCGATCTCCCCTTCAGCTTTAACCCAAACTATGATTATCATCACTATTATGGTTTAGATTTGAGTTATCCCCAAAAGCACATATGTGAGACAATGCAAGAAAGTTCAGAGGTGAAATGACTGGGTCATGAGAGCCTTTACCTAATCAGTGCATTAATCAGCTGATAGGAATTAACTGATAGGAATCAACTATAGGCAGTTAGGGTGTGGCTGAATAAACACTAAATATACTGTTGAACATTTCTTAAAAATAATTTTTAGGCAAATTCAAATATTTTACATCTTTCTTATTCTTCTCTACCAATTAGAACCTAGAAATCAAGCCTAACTTGCTAAATCTACTCAAAAAGTATCAAGAGTTCCTCTACTTTTATTTCCTTCTGTTAAATCTTCTTTCTCTTCCTCCTGTCTCTGATTTCTCTCCTTTTACCATCTCTTTCAAACAACATCCCTTCATCTTACCTCCCCTAACTTTCCATAAGATAGATGTATATACTGAAGCTTCTTTTGCTTTGTGGAATACAAATTTGACTTATTCTTTAAAATATGCTGATTGTTTCAATATATGAATGTTATACAATTTTAAAAAGCAGGAAAGGAGCTTTAAAAACATGACTTCCTTTATTAACATAATACATAAAATTCTTATAAAAAAATTTCAAATAATACATGATAATATTAGACAAGATGTGAATGAATTTTCTAACCCATTCCATTCACACCCACATCTTCATATGCTTTATATGCATGAAAAAACATTCACAGAAACATGATAGCATGCATTATTTCTCTACATTCTGACAAAGCTATTTTGAATCATTGCAACAGAACAATCATTGTATATAAACATTGTTTTTCTTTAAGAGATTATAATTATTCACAGTAGCTGAGTTCATCTTGAAAAAAATCATACATGCATAGAACATGACCCATTCCATTTCAGTGCAGGTTCCTCCCCCGTCTACCCACTCCACTAATCCTCCCCTTGCTCATTCATTTATTCATCCTAGATTGGTGCTTTCCACGAACACTGATAGGTTAAATTCCTTTTGGTATATAACCTATGCACATATGTGATTTTGTTAAATTTACTCCATCTTTCTTCTCTTTTTCCCATTCCTCTTCTGTCCTCTCTATCTCCTTCTTCTACTCCACTGATTTTCTCTATATATCCATGGTTATGACCTCCCGCCTTCTTTTCCTTGTTTTATTCTAGCTTCCACATAAAAGAGAAAACTTTCAACCTCTAAATTTCTCAGTATGATATTATTCACTTAGTATGGTATTCTCCATTTCCATCCATTTATTGGCAAATGCCATAATTTCATTTTTCTTATGGCTGAGTAAAACTCCACTGGGTATATATGCCACATTTTCTTAATTCATTCATCTTTTGATGGACATCTGGGTTGATTCTGTAATTTGACTATTGTAAATTATGCTGCTATAAACATTGAGGTGGCTGTATCACTACAGAATGATGCTTTAAATTATTTTGAATAAATACCAAGGAGTGAGATACCTGGATCATATAGTGGTTCCATTCCTAGTTTTTTGAGGGGTTTCCATAATGCTTTCCATAGTATTTATACTTATTTTCAATTCCACCAGCAATGTGTAAATTTATCTTTTCCCTCAAATCCTCACCAGCATTTATTATTATTTGTATTCTTGATAACTGTCATTCTGACTGGAGTGAGATGAAATCTTAGTGTTAGATTTGTATTTTCCTGATTGCTAGGGATTTAGCATTTTATAATGTGTTTGTTAGCCATGTGTGGTTGTCTTTTAACAAATGTCTATTTAATGCTTTTGTCCATTTATTGACTGGTTTGATTTTTGGTGTTAAGATTTTGAATTCTTTATGTATTCTGGATATAAATCCCCTATCAGAGGAGCCTTTGGCACAGATTTTCTCCCATTCTGTAGGTTCTTTATGCTTTTAATAATTTCCTTTGGTGTGTAAATGCTCTTTAATTTGATCACATCCCATTTGTTGATACTTGGTTTTATTTCTTGAACTTTAAGGAATGCAGTACCTGCACCAATATGCTGGAATGTAGACCCTATGTTTTCTTCTAGCAGCATCAAAATTTCTGGTCTAATTCTCAAGTTTTGGATCCATTTTGATTTGACTTTCATGTAGGATAAGATATAGGGATCTAGCTTCATTCTTCTACATATGGATATCCAGTTGTCCCAGTACCATTTAAGGCTATCTTTTCTCCAACACCTATCTTTGGCATCTTTGACAAGAATCAGATGACTATGTGGACTTATCTCTTTCTCTTCTATTCCTTTGGTCTTCATGTCTATTTGATGCTAAAACTATGCTGTTTTTGTTATCTTTTCTCTATAGTTTGAGTTCAGGCATTGTGAGGCTGCCTCCATCACTTTTCTTGCTCTGACTTGGTTAAACTATTCAGGGTCACTCATTCTTCCAAATGAATTTTAGATGTATTTTTTCTTGTTCTGTGAAGAATGTTATTGGTATTTTGGTGGGAACTGCATTGAATCTGTATATTAATTTAGGTAATATAGACAATATTACTCTTCCTATCCAAGAGTAGGGGAGGTCTTTCTATCTTCTAAAGCCTTCTTCAATTTCTTTCTTCAGTGTTCTGTAATTACCATTGATGAAAGATCAAAAGACCTTTCATCTCCTTAAGATTAATTTTCAATTAATTTTTTGAGGTTATTGTGAATGGGATGGTTTTCCTGATTTCTTTCTCTGCAAAATTACTACTGAATATAGGAAAGCTATGCATTTATGAATGCTATTTTGTTGAATTCGTTTATCAGCTATAGAAGTCTTCTAGCAGAATTTTCTGGGTCTTCTTGATATAGGATGTCATCAGCAACAAGGATAGTTGATGTCTTCTTTTCCTACTTGTATCCATTTAATTCCTTCTCTTGCCTGATTGCTCTGGCTAAAGTTGTTCCTGTTTTTAGAGGAAATACTTTCAATTTTTCTCCATTTAGTATGATGTTTGCTTTGGATTTATCATATATAGTCTTTATAATGTTGAGGTAAGTTCCTTCTAATCTTAGTTTCTCCAGTGCTGGATTTTATCACAGGTCTTTTCTGCTTCTATTAAGATTAACATAGGATTCTTGTCCTTAATTTTAATTATGTGGTGAATTACATTTGTTTATGTTGACTTACCTTGCATTCCTAGGATGAAGCCAACTTGATTATTGTGAATTATCTTGAGGTGTTTTTTAATGCTATTTACTACTACTTTATTAAGAATTTTTGCATCTATGGTCATCAGGGATATTGATCTGTAATTTTCTTTCTTTGATGTGTCTTTATTTGATCTTGGTATCAGGGTTAAACAGGCTTCATAGAATGTTTTAGGTAGTGTTCCCTCCCTTTCAATTCCATGAAATAATTTGAGAATGACTGGTGTTTTTTCTTCTTTAAAGGTCTGATAGAACTCAGCAGAGAATTCATCCGGTCCTGGGCTTTTCTTTGTTGGAAGGTTTTTAATTCTATTTTAATTTCATTAGTCGATTGTGATCTATTTAGGTTTTCTCTATCTTCCTGGTTCAATATGGGCAGGTTATACATCTTTAGAAATTTATTAATGTCTTCTAGACTTTTCAGTTTATTGGAATATACATTTTCAAAATACTTTCTAAAGATTCTCTGCATTTCAGAAATAAACACCATTTTTAAATATTAAGCAATATTAAAAAAGACTTGCACCTGATTTTCTACCTTGATATATATCAACTCTGAATCTCATACCAAGGGTTAAAGGATCAGAAATAAAATGTGATGTAAGGATAGAGTTGTGTGAAGAATAGGATGATGGTTATCGACTACCCCTATCAGCCAAGAACTGAGAGGTTTCTTAGAACACTAAACTTGGAAGTGTAGTCCTGGACAAACCAAGACACTTGGTCACCCTGCTTGCTTTGTAAATCAAATTTTTTAAAATTAGAAGATGTAATAAGACCTAAGGTAAGACAAAGGATGATTGTGAGATGGAATGAGGGCTATGGCAATGGGGCAAAGTCTTATAGTATATGAGAGGCCATAGGAGCAAAATGGATAAGAATACTGGTTTAAGTTCAAGAGTTTTATACTAAAATCAAGCTTTACTCTTTCTTCCTATGTGATCTTGGACATGTTAATTTCTATGTGCCTCAACTTCATCTATAAAACAGAGGCAAACAATAAAAGTAATCCAATGTAAGATTCTGAGAATTCAAAGAGACTTTGACAGGACAACTTAAATTATAAGCATTCAATAAACAATAATTGT